ATAGAGAATTGACGTCGAAGACTCCTTATGCAAGCATAGTGGGAAGTTTAATGTATGCAATGGTATGTATAAGGCCAGATCTATCACAGGCAGTTAGCATGGTTTCACGATACATGCATGACCCATGTCTGGGTTATTGAGATGCTGTGAGGTGGATATTGAGGTACATTCGAGGTACTCTCAATGTTGGTTTGATGTTTGAGCAGGACACTGGTGGTGGGCAATTATGCATTGGATAAGTAGATTTTGACTATGCTGGATATTTGGACAAGTGTCGGTCGATAACGGGGTATGTGTTCACTTTGACCCATGCACTGTGTTGGAGATGCACTACCTTGTAGTCTACAGTTACTTTGTCGACAATAAAGGCAGAGTATATGACGATTACATAGGTCGTTAAGGAGGCAATATGGCTTCGAAGACTTTTGGAGAATTTTGGTGTTTTATAGTGATCTGTTACTATTTATTGTGATAGTATGAGTGCTATCTCTTTGGCGAAGAATCAAGTTTTCCATACGAGGATGAAGCACATTGATGTTCGCTATCACTTCTAATACGGGTGTATCTTCTCTTCGGAAAAGCGATCCTCATAGGAGCTTGAGGATAGGTGATTCTCATGATATCTTGAGAATAGTGGTGTGAAGCGACACGGCGGAGCATAGGTGGAAGCGTGGAACGAGACGATGAACAACAGATTCAAAGAATCCATATTTCAGCCTGTGAGTCGACTCATACGTTCATGAGTTGACTCATCAGGTTGAGTCGACTCATGCCTGTCATGAGTCGACTCAAGAACTCAAGCCCTGTTAGCAAAACGTCTCTCATCAGTCGACTCATCAGTTATGAGTCGACTCATATGAGGTCATGAGTCGACTCATATGCAGTTTTGAGTCGACTCATCGATGGTTTCCTGGTTCGTTTGGGTTTCTATTCATACGAATTCCTATTGGGTTTGGTTTTGGTTATTTACCAAATTGCCACCACGTTATAAACCCTATAAATAGGGATTGTTTAGGGTTCTAAAGGAAAAAGAAAAAGGAGGTGAGAGGCTAAGATATAGATCTAAAGGGTTTTAGGTCTAAGTGAGATCCTAATCAAAAGGATTAGGATTTAGATTGTGAGGATCTATGAGATCTTAGATCAGAGAGAGATTCTAATCATTGTATTAGGGTTTAGAGAGGATTGAGAGGTTGTTCTCGATTCTAGTGAGATTGTGAGGGAGAGATTCGTAATAATTGATTCTTCATAATCTAGAGAAGGTATTTTTCTTCGCCATACTGAATTGTTCTTGTATTTTAGTTGTCTTCTTCTCAACCCATCTTTTGGTAATTCCGTGACCAAAGGGTGCTCGTACGGCGAATCGTATCAAGTTGGTATCAGAGCGATCAGATCCTGCGAAGGGGCATCATGTGTATGGTCCTGACTCGATCGCAATACAAGAAGCTTAGCGATATCCTTTTCTTTGGAAGGAGTTCAGAGATTAAGAAAGAAGAAGATAACTGAAGTCAACAAAGATGAAGGGGCTCGAGAGTTTTCCTCAGCTGAAGTTCTAACTTGAATGGGACTTCAAGTTTCTAAAGAGAGGACCTATGATACGGGTGTATCTTCTCTTTGGAAAAGCGATCCTCATGGGAGCTTGAGGATAGGTGATTCTCATGATATCTTAAGAATAGTGGTGTGAAGCGACACAGCGGAGCACAGGTGGAAGCGTGGAACGAGACGACGAATAACAGATTCAAAGAATCCAGATTTTAGCCTGTGAGTCGACTCATACGTTCATGAGTCAACTCATCAGGTTGAGTCGACTCATGCCTGTCATGAGTCGACTCAAGAACTCAAGCCCTGTTAGCAAAATGTCTCTGACCAGTCGACTCATTAGTTATGAGTCGACTCATATGAGGTCATGAGTCGACTCATATGCAGTTTTGAGTCGACTCATCGATGGTTTCCTGGTTCGTTTGGGTTTCTGTTCACACGAATTCCTGTTGGGTTTGGTTTTGGTTATTTACTAGATTGCCACCACGTTGTAAACCCTATAAATAGGGATTGTTTAGGGTTCTAAAGGAAAAAGAAAAAGGACGTGAGAGGCCAAGATGTAGATCTAAAGGGTTTTAGGTCTAAGTGAGATCCTAATCAAAAGGATTAGGGTTTAGATTGTGAGGATCTATGATATCTTAGATCAGAGAGAGATTCTAATTATTGTATTAGGGTTTAGAGAGGATTAAGAGGTTGATCTTGATTCTAGTGAAATTATGAGGAAGAGATCTGTAATAATTGATTTTTCATAATCTAGAGAAGGTATTTTCCTTCGCTTTACTGAATTGTTCTTGTATTTTAGTTGTCTTCTTCTCAACCCACCTTTTGGGAATTCCGCGACCAAAGGGTGCTCACACGACGACTCGTATCAACTTCGTTCGGGATATTCTTGAAGATGGGGATATGGAGCTTGTGAAGATCCACACAAAAGACAATCCAGCAGATATACTCACGAAGGTGGCCTCTAGCAGCAAGTTTGATCACTGTAGAAACTTACTGCAGATTTGTGCTTGTTGAGGTCTATTGAGGCCATTTGGAGGAACTACGAGTGGCTTGATCTCTTAGAAGAGGGGGTACGTAGGCAACCACATTGGTATTGCCAGATTTGGAGAAGCAACATATTGGTGCTCTTTTTGGTGTCAGCTCAGTTTTGGGAACACTTCACTGAGGTGAAGAATTGTTGAAGACATGCACAAACATACACAGACCATCGATTGACTGATCAATCATCAGTCGACCGATTTGACCGCCAGAAAACAAGTACAGGAATTCATTCTGGTCGGTCGACTGATGGGGATGTATCGGTTGACCGATAACATGCACTGTAGGAACTAGGGAAATTCACTCTGGTCATTCGACCGATGAATACCTATCGGTTGACCGATAGCGGGTTGAACGGGTAAAACCGTTTCCCAATCTGTTTTAAATTAAGGGTTTATATAAATAGAAGGAACATTTTTATTAAGCTTAGTCAGAGAAAAGAGAGTTGTTTGAGCACTTTGAGAGAGAGATTATTTGTAGGTGAGTGAGATCTTGTTGGTGAGGGTTATTTTGATTGTTTGAGAGTTGTAACCCATTGTATTTTTCCACCATATAGTAAAATCTCCCCATCCTCTCCCCGTGGATGTAGGCATGTTGCCGAACCACGTAATTCTCTGTGTTTGTGATTGATTTTGGCTGTTTCTATTATGGATTATTCTCGTTGAGCATTGCTTACCGACTTGTTGTGGATTGAGTCCGCTTTCGCCGTGCGCAACACTAACATCATATCTTATGGTGTGTTTTTGATGTAGAATGTGTTGTAAATGAGTTCCCGGAGCAGTTGAACCCCCAGAAGCCAAGTTGGGGTTCAGAAAGGGGTTTTGACTTGCTCATGAAGAAAGACCTTTATCTCGCAATCCGTAGATAAGAATCAAACATACAATATATAAAAATCATTTTTTTGGTGTTAACCAAACACATCAATAGTCCTGTTTTTTGCAATTAGCTTCTTGAGACCCCCCTCGGATTGAGAGATATCAAACTTTATGTCAAGTTTTGCTAATTTTTTAATGACATATGAGTCAGTTTTGGTTAGAATACAAATCTGGTCTGATTTCATATTTGACCAATTAGTTTTCTAAATTATAGTATGCCTTTTAGAGTAGTTTTGATAATTTCTATTGGTGAATTCTATACGGAGTGTACTTTATTTTTTAATTTAAGTAGAGGATTATAGACCCTATAGATTATTACATTTTGATTAATAAAAGGATTTGATGGTTATGAGGTGGCAGCTTATTTTGCAAAGTAGGCTACTAAGAGATAGAAGCGTGAGGTCCACACCTTTTGATGTGACTTTTAAGGTGAGCCTCATCACATAGCTCATTTAGCAAGTTCTAACTCTTGATAGCTCTTAACAAACTGAGCATTCACTTCATACCCATTATTTACTTAATAAAATCCCTCTTTGATATTACTTTATGAATTCAAGATTTTCTTCTTTGCGGACCTTGGGGCCCTTGCAATCCCTCCAATTACTGGGTCTCCCCCAAAACTGCAAATGAAGACGCAAACATTAGGTGATTTTCGAGCTAATGCATCAAGTCTAGTCTGCATTATTGGATTGTCCGGTATCTTTCATCATCCTCACCGTTACTCTGTCCCTAGAGTTAATTGAGGATAGACCCCAGAGTAAATTTCTTGACTCTTTTACCCTCTGAAGGTCTATCTGTCAAAAGATAATATTCTCTTACTCTGAGCGTAAAAGAGTCAAAATTCATTTAGGGGGTCTATCTGAAACTATAGAACTACGGGTGGTCTACTGGCATTTGGGAGATAGTACAGGGGGGTCTATTCACGATTAACTCTTGTTTCTACTTAGAAGCTACATCTGTTTCCAATGCATATGCATTATGTTCTTATTTACAGTTTAACAGTAACTCTTAGAATGCATGACAAGCTGCCGGTGTCAATTTTCTGTTTTGCAAGAAAGGGTAATTATCTGCTTCTCCTTAATCTTATTAAGACTCTCTACGCTACTCTCAGAGAATAACCTGCTATTGAAATCAGCAAATAATACATAAACATGTTGACCTCGTGGTCGCAATTTGTACCTGTTTCTGAAACTGGCAATAAAGTTCTATGATACCATTCTCTCTGTCTGAAGTTCATATAGTTCTGCTAAATCTTACCTATTTCAATGAAGAAATGATAATTTGGCTCTGATAAATTCTGAGAGGTTGCTGAAAGTCACTTTGCAGCTTGTACTGTGGCTTTTTATAGATGTTATTCTCATTCCTTGTGGATAACTTAAACTCTGATAGTGTTGTGGCTTAAGTTCTTTTGATCTCAAATTTTACTCATTTGCAATAGTCTCAGTGGATGTAATCTTAACAATCACAAAAAATATATCCTGTAGCTTTGCCTGTTTCAGAGGCTTGATCGATGTCCAGTAATCACTAAAAAGGTTGTTCTTACCTAGTCTTTGTTTTTTCAGTTGAATGTATATATAGGTGCAGGTTACACATGAAACCATTTTCAGACGAAGAAATATTGGATACACAACGTGCACTCGATTCACACATTTACAAGGACAAGTACACCAACTTACACAAACATTAATAACCATGCAAGAGTACAAATAATTCACACAGATATCATGTTGTATTAACAGGAAGGATATTTAGGATTGTTTTTTCAAGCGGTTGGATATGAAGCCTGCATTGCGATCCCGCAAAGCCCTTCTTCAGCGTCGACATCCCTCTCCATCCTGATATATCCCTTTTCTCCCCACGACGCCCCCCATGAGTTCTTCACCAACCAATACTTTGTCCCGTTGCTTGCCTTCCCATATCCAACTGCAGTAACGCCATGATCCAATTCAGTACCGCATTCCCCTGTGAACACCCCGCTCGAGTACAATCCAACTGCAGTAACGCCATGATCCAATTCAGTACCGCATTCCCCTGTGAACACCCCGCTCGAGTACAATTGAAAGTCTGAACCCCCCGCATCAATTGCAACTGACACTGGCTGGTTAGCAACCGCTTTAAGCAGGGATGACTCGTCGTTGGCAGGCACGTCCTCGTAGCCTGTGATGGTCGCAGCACTGGCTGAAGCCTTTTTGGAACTGCACGTGCCATCGGTGGCCGTGTATGGATACCTGGCTTCGGTTGTCAGGCCTTTGTTCTTAATCATGAACTTGAAGGCGTTGTCCATTAAACCACCATTGCATCCTTGGTCCTCCCCGCTGGTGTCGCAGTCCACGAGCTCTTGTTCTGAGAGGGAGATGAGTTTGCCTGTAGTCAGCTTGTGGATTCCTTCTGTTGATGCTACTGCAGAGAATGCCCAACAGCATCCTGCATTCACATATACATGCAAATGGATTCCTTCTGTTGATGCTACTGCAGAGAATGCCCAACAGCATCCTGCATTCACATATACATGCAAAGTGAGAAACATTATTTAATCATAGGGTTTAATTGTGCACAGACCGATCGCAGTATATTTTTTTTAGCCTATTAATTATTCCTCTAGCTTTAATTTTGCGGATAGACCTTCTAGCTTTTTTTAAAATTTTTAAACTCTTTTACCACCTTGTCAAAAAAACAGTTTTCTTTTTCTCTGAGTCTAAAAGAGTCAAAAACGAGCCTGTAAGAGGTCTATCTGCAAAAATAAAACTAAAAAAGTAAGAAGTTCAAAGAGGCAATGCGACCTCTCACCTGCAAAAATAAAACTAAAGGAGTAGGAAGCTCAAAACAGCGATACTGCGGGTGTCAGTTAACGGTAAATAATGTGGACTATTAAGAAATGTGTACGATTTTGCTCACCGCATTGTCCTTGATTCTTGATAGGAGTTACAGCACCCTTGGTCCTCCAATCCATGCTTGCAGGAGCTGCAGTAAAATTCTCATACTTGAAGTTGCTTCTGACTGCCGCCTTTAATACATTTGGCTTCGAAGGCCTGAACCCGTTATAAGAGGCCCTGAACTCCTCGTTCGTCAGATCAGCAAACTGGTTAGCTCCGAGCTTGTACTTATGCGCTCCTGCAGAGTTAAACGCTTCAATGTACTCGACATTGGCCTTGAATATTTTAAACCGGTGCAACTTCTCTGCTGCGTCTTTGTAGACTCGCCCGTGCTGAGCCATCCATTTCTCGTGCCTCTCCTTCATCGACGTCTCACTCAGGTCACGGGACGCCGTGGAGAGTGAAACCCAAATGCTGAATATCACCAAAGAGAACAATAGGCATCTGTGTGAAGCCAAAGAAGCCATGGTTAGTTAATGAGCAAACTGTGAGATGATTGGAAACGCAAAGATGGAATTGGTTTATATAGAGATTTTTACTTGTGACTATTGCATCTCTAAGTCCTTAATCATTGAGAAAGTGCCGTGAAGTTGTTGCAGATTCCTTTGGAATGTTGTGAGAATTCTTAAATTTGGTGCAACGGAGGAAGGATCCCGTTTCGTGCGTATAAGCGCATTCAGAGTCCGAATGCTGATATTTACATTTGTTTAATATGTCGAGGCCTTATTTTGTGGGTAATTTATGTTAACAGCTAAGTATTTTTGTCAAATTGTGAAACTATACAATGGCCCAAAAACTACAGGCCTAATAGTTTATGCTTGTTTCCAACATTTCCTGGTGGCTGCTCCCTTTAGAATTCACACAACGAAAGAACTAATATATTTTGTATTGAACGGCACGATACATCACTCTTAACCATCTTCATTTTGTATCCATTTCCAATTCGATTAAGTGTCACTAACATCATATCTTATGGTGTGTTTTTGATGTAGAATGTGCTGTAAATGAGTTCCTGGAGCAGTCGAACCCCCAGAAGCCAGGTTGGGGTTTCGGAAAGTGGTTTTGACTTGCTCATGAAGAAAGACCTTTATCTCGCAATCCGTAGCTCAGAATCAAACATACAATATATTAGAAATAATATAAAACTATAATCTTTTATCCTCACCGTAACTTCGGAGTTTTTGTGTAATCGTTAGAGGAACTAAATTTAAAATGGTATCAGAGCAACCCAGGTTCAAATCCCACCGGCCACGAAGTAAATGCGAATTTTCTAAAAACTAACATCGCTATGTGAGTCCATGTTTCGACCCATAAAAAAGGATGCTCGACCTACGTGGGCATGTTAGAATTAATATAAAACTATAATCCTTGATCCTCACCATAACTTCGGAGTTTTGATGTAATGGTTAGAGGAACTAAATTTAAGACAATATATAAAAATTATTTTTTGGGAGGCAGTGTTAACCAAACACATCAATAGTCCTGTTTTGCTGCAATCAGCTTCTTGAGATCCCCCTCAAATTGAGAGATATCAAACTTTATGTCAAGTTTTGCTAATTTTTAATGACATATGAGTCGGTTTTGGTTAGGAAACAAATCCAGTCTGATTTCATATTTGACCGATTAGTTTTCTAAATCATAGTAAGTCTTTTAGAGTAGTTTGGATAATTTCTATTGGCAATTGCTATTAGGAGTCCACTTTATTTTTTAATTTAAGTAAAGAATTATATGAAGAAACTGCGTGAAATTTTGGATTAGAACAGGTTTTGGATATCAGGGTTCTATTTTGGAGCTGCGCGGTTGACCGCGACGCAAGGCCGATCGATAGCGAACGTGCACAGACTCTGGTAGGAGTCTGGATTTGGCGTGGTTGAGCGTGACGATCGACCGCGAGATCCTGTAATCATTTTCTGACTCTGTCATTTAATCGCGGTCGACCGCGAGCTTTGGGCGGTCGACTGCCAATTGGGTCTGACCCAGTTTGAGTTTCCTGTTCAGTTTGGGTTTGGTGTTTGCTATAAATACCAACATATATTCTAGGGTTTCTTTAGGCTTGAGTTTGGGATATTTGGAGCATAGAAAAGAGTTATTTTCTGAACTATCTGATTAGGGTTTGTTTGGAGAGATTAAGAGTTTTGTGGTGAGATTAGTTTGTTCCTTCGAGTGATTTGTAATCTCAGTTTGTACTTTTCTTCTCTATTAGTAAAAACCCCATCCCCTTCCTACCCCGTGGACGTAGGCAATTTGACGAACCATGTTAAAATCGTTTGTTTGTGTTTGTAGCATTGATTTGGTGATTTCGCCTTTATCTCGGCATTTTGGTATTTGGTTTCTCGAAGCACATTTGGTTGTTTGGCTTCTGCACAACGCACAACAATTGGTATCAGAGTTCAGGCTATGCTTGAGCTATTTGGAGGAGTAGGTCGTTTTGGAGGCTCGTATAGGGCTTCATTTGGTGATAAATGTAGGATCTTTTTTGTAAAGACTCTATTTTTTTAGTTTTGGATCTATTCTTCATTTGTTCCACATTTATTTTGGTGCTTTGAGAAAGATGATCGAGAAAAAAGAAGTTGTGGAGGGTACTTCCAGCGTGAAGACCGTCCAAAGTTTGAATATCCACTCTATGAAGATAGATGTGGAGAAGTTTAATGACACAAATAATTTTGATCTTTGGAGATGTGAAGTCTTGGATGCGCTCAATGCGTAAAATTTAGAAGATACTTTGGAGTTGGACGGGAACTCAGACGACATTGATGAGAAGTTTTGGAAAAAGATGAATCAAATGGCGTGTAGTGTGATTAGGTCTTGTCTCACTAAAGATCTAAAATATGATGTGATGAATGAGACTTCGGCTAAGAAGATTTAGGAGATCATAGAGAGCAAGTATTTGATGAAAAGTGTAGAAAACCGCTTGCATTTGAAGAGGAGGCTTTATCGCTTCTAATTGAAGAAGAGGACATTCATTAGTGATCACATGAACCACTACACGAAGCTTCTTGTAGATTTGACGAATGTAGATGTTATGGTTGAAGATGAGGACAAAACATTGTTATTGTTGAGTTCCTTGCCCGACGAGGAATATGAGACCTTCGTTCTTACTCTTATTAATGGGAAGACATCTCTTTCGTATAGTAAGGTCATCGCTGCACTTGTGAATTATCAGCTTCGAAAGAAGGATAATGAGACTTTAGTTGAGCCGGTAGCAGGAGCATTGGTCGCAAGAGCAAAGAGTCCAAACCGTGGTAGAAGGTCGCAGTCTAGAGGGGTACATCTTGGAGTTCATAGGAATTAGTGTGCTTTTTGTAAAGAATATGAACATTGAAAAGCCGAATGCCCAAAGTTAGTTGATCGAGACGGGAAGAATAAGGAGAAAGCTATTGAAGCTTCAGAGGTGAATGTTGCTAATGCTAGTGGTAACACTTCAGATTCAGATTATTCGAACTATTCGTGCCCAGCACTTCCGTCAGTTTGTGTTGCTGACTCCACTAAGTGGATGTTGGATTCAGGTGCCTCATATCATATTTGCCCTAAGAGGGATTGGTTCTCCAGCTTTTAGGAGTTGGAAAGAGGGGATGTTGTGCTCATGGGTAATGATCACAAATCCCTTATTTATGGTATCAGTACCATTTGTATTCGGATGAGTGACAGGGTGATTAGGGAGTTGGTTGGAGTGAGGTTCGTTCCTCAGTTGAAGAAGAATATCATTTTACTTGGAGTTTTAGAGGCAGCAGGCTATAATGTGACCTTGATGGATGCACGTTTGAAGGTCACATTGGGGTCCATGATTGTGATGAAGGACGTCAGAAGGAATAATTTATACTATTTGCTTAGGAGCACGGTAATTGATAGAGCGCTGACGACTTCTTTGGATTTGACTAGACTGTGGCATTTGTTGAGGCTGGGTTATTTGATTGTTTGTGTCGTGCATGGTTTGTTGAGGAGTGCTTTGACTTGCAGTTTGAAGTCCTTTGAGCACGTTGGTATGAGCAAAACCACGGTGGAGTTTGGTACTTCTATCCATCGATCAAGGGGTCTTTTAGGAGGTGTTCAGTCAGGTATTTGTGGGCCTTCCAAGGAGGCATCATTAGGAGGTAATCGATATTTGATTGTCGTAGTTGGTGGTTATTCTAGGCATTATTAGGTCGGGATCAGTTTCCGTTGGTGTAAAGTCCTAGAAGTCAATAACAATTGGAAGAAGTGTATTAGCAGAAAGATAACCCATCGTTCTAGCTTTGGTAGGGGTTCTTTCTTGCATTTGTGCTGAGCTTATGGTAGTCTGAGACACTTCATTAATGTGGAGACATTAGGGCGATAAGATGAGATGACAGTTTTGATGGGTCGTTCCTTATTGGAAGGGTATCTGTGTTGGTTATCGTGCATTGGTTTTGGTTTTGGAGCTTTGACATATTTAGATCATTTTGATCATAGATTGCTGACTGCTGCGTGTGGAGATTTTGGATCTGGTGGAGCTGCTTCATATTTTGAGTTGCGTCAGATATTTGATTGCCTAATATTTGGTCACATCGAGGATGTGAGATTTGATCCGATTACACGTTTGGGATTCAGAGGTTCGTTTGATTATTAGTTAGAAGCTTCTGATTTTGTTCTGAGTAGGTATGTCACATTTGACTCTCGGCAGGTAGAGAGTATTGACCAGATTATTAGGTTATCACAGCAGATGGAGGATGATGCTACTTCACATTGGGTGAAGATTACTTCACATACTCCAGATCATACTGTATCGTTTGGGATTCAAGCTGAGGTGACACACTTTGGAGATCATTTAGATTTGGATGCAGATGATGAGTTGGTTTTGGATTCAAGTGCAGTTAGTGGACATGTTTTAGATACGACCATTAGTTCACCTTAGATATAGATGTTTTGATTTGTTTTAGTTTGGGGCCATTGGGAGCGCTATCAGTTGCAGATCCGTTGGTGATATTGATGAAGAGTTATTTGGGTGAACTACATGAAGGCTTGATTCCTTGGGAAAGAGGATATGTAGGCAGTTTTTATGATGCAGCCGATTTAGTGAGTAGATACCGACGTTTGGAGAGTGTTCGCATTCTCATTTGGGTCTCGACTTGTTATGGATTGAGTCCGTTATCGTGAATCGTTTTACTTCGTACTAAACGCGACAAGTGAGGCATTTGGTTTGGTTGGTGTCGGCTCAGTTTTGGAAGAAACTTTAGCGATGTGGAGAATTAAAGAAACCGCGTGAAATTTTGTATCAGAATAGGTTTTGAACATCAGGGTTCTGTTTTGGAGCTGCGCGGTCGACCGCGGCGCAAGGCAGGTCGACCGTGAATGTGCACAAACTCTGGTAGGAGTTTGGATTTGGCGCGATCGACCGCGGCGGTCGACCGCGAGACCATGTAATCATTTTCTAGCTTTGTCGTTTGATCGCGATCGACCGCCAATCGAGTCTGGCCAGTTTAAGTTTTCTGTTCAGTTTGGGTTTGGTGTT